TTGTTCAGTGTCAGCAGTGTCAGAGTAGTAGACAAATGGAATGCATTAGGCAGTGATGTGGTGGAGGCAGACTCCATACACAGTTTCAAATGTAGATATGATAGAGCCCAGTAGGCTCAGGAATCTGTACACCAGTTGATTGACAGTTGAGAGGCGGGACCAAGGAGCCAGAGCTCAACCCCCGCAAGTACAACTAGGTTATTCACAGCAAACAAGGAATAAAGGAGCTGGGAGGCGGAACCTGGAAGCAGGTGAGGAGGTCCCATCTGTGTCTGGGTACAAAAGACGGCAGTCACCGGGTTCTCTTCTATTGTGGCGCTGCTGCTACTGCTGCCGCTGTTCTGCTGCTGCTGCTGCTGCTGCTGCCGCTGTTGTAGAATGTTCATCTTCACACACACACACTGCCCATTAAACTCGTCCTTCGGGCCTTAATTAAACTTATTGACTTTTTCCCAGAGTTGGACCAGAAAGGACAATGGGGGTTGACATCAGCTGCTTATCCAAGATTAGTCAACATACCTTCACAAACTTGATTAATTGATAATTGAAGACCAGTTCTGGAATATGCGGCTCCAGCATGGACTGTATATCCTCCCAGACTATATATAGGTACCGGAGCTGAGGGGCTGAAGTTTTCAGGAAAAGTTGATGGAGCTTACCCCTCAAGACATGTAACATCGGTGACATGATCACGATATAATAAATTTTCAGTGAAATTGACAGGGTTAGTAATTAATTAATGGAATGATAGGAACGTTGATGTGGGCTCGAACCTGTACGTGGTAATTTCATTAAAACTTACCCATCACCCCAGCACTGCCACCACCACAACCACCACTGTACTGGATCTTGAGGTTATCTTGAGATGATTTCGGGGCTTTAGTGTCCCCGCGGCCCGGTCCTCGACCAGGCCTCCATCCCCAGGAAGCAGCCCGTGACAGCTGACTAACACCCAGGTACCTATTTTACTGCTAGGTAACAGGGGCATAGGGTGAAAGAAACTCTGCCCATTGTTTCTCGCCGGCGCCTGGGATCGAACCCAGGACCACAGGATCACAAGTCCAGCGTGCTGTCCACTCGGCCGACCGGCTCCCTGGATACCAACAGAGACATCACACACTCCCTACACAGTGTTGCATTGCCTAACCTTCAGTACCAGACATGATACGAGTGCCTGGGTCTCCTTACCCCCCAGTGCCACCCCATAAACACTTTCACTGTGTCATCATAACTTCCGGTGCCAGCATCGCCTATGCCAACCATTCTAGTGCCAACACTATTAATAAACCTGAAGCAGTAGACTTGGTGGGCTCCCCACCACGATCATCCAGACACACATTGTGTCAAAACCTTCCAGTAAAACACTGCCAACGTTATGGAAAGATATATACAGGTTTTGTAATTAGTTGCGCGAATAAGAACATAAGAATAAAGGTACCTGCAGAAGGCCTATTGGCCCATACGAGGCAGCTCCTGAATGTTTGAGGATTCAGATCTTTATGAGGATCTTTTTGTTCGAATGTTTGAGGAATCCTGGTAAGAGCTCTGAATCTTTAATTGCAGGTTTATCCCAACAACAGCAGTACCAGGATCGTGACATGAGGGGGGGGAGGGGGGTGTGGCAAGCTCTTACACCGCTGTTAAGATGCTATTGATCCTGTGGTACAGTGATCCTTCTTCTTAACTCACAGTCAAAGATCCCGAGTTCAATTTCCCTCTGGGACAGATCTGGTGTGGGGGACAAGCCGGGGTGTTATTTAGGGCAAGTCAGGTGTCGTGTGGCTGGCAAGTCTGGTCTGCCAGGCTTGATCTGGTGTCAAGTCCCCAGTGATGGACGACGAAGGAAGGTTTGACTGACGGGCAAGTCCCAAGGCATCCTTATATTCCTATCGATGATAGGACATTTTTACCAGACGAGAAATCGTCGAGGATTGCAACTATTGCTGGCCTGAAATGTATCTCGCGTGGGATGGTCTCTCTTTGAAGAGAAATGGCGGGTCAGCGTCTTCTTTCACTCCTAGAGGTATTGATGGATGGGGGACATGTGAGGACGTGTTCCCCTTAGACTTGCATGCTATGATTGCAAGTCCGAGCCACGGACCTGATCACAACCGTAACCAGAGTCCTAACCAAAGTCCTAGCCACTGTCCTAGCCTTACCTGTCCTGTTTTTCACTGCTCTCCCACACACAGGAAAATTAATGGATTTCTCAACATTTTGGAAAACCGCGTCCGAGAGGTGGCCAAGTTCGCGGTCAAGTCAAATGAAAGTTTTTACCCGAATTCTTGAAACTTGAGGAGGGAAAAAGATTCTCTTTGGCCACAAAACTGGCTAGAGCTGACATGGACATGGGTGCGACGCAGAAGTGTGGGAGAATGCCAACTCAAATTCTGAAAGCTTATATCTATTTTTTTCAAAAGGAAAATCGTCTTGAGGCAGAGCTTCTTCTTGGTAAACAATTAATGTGTTTGGGAGTCGCGGGCACTCGGCGCCGTTCACG